TTGGTGGACCATGTCCCATCCCCGACTCCAAAAGCTTGATAAGGAAGTGCTGTTGTACCGTAATAACCTGCAATAAGGAAAAATATTTGTGTCTAAACAAATTTCCCACTTTCAAGTTATAAATCAACTAATTTGAAAGCAACAAGATACAAAAGATGTTTCTGTACAAATCTATTTCACTCTACGACAATAAGCCTCAACATATTAGCACAATTTGTTAAATGACGTCCCGCATTTTGTTATCTGATGAATAAAAATATTTACATCACAGACTAGAACATTTCGTCTGCAGTTGATAACATATACGTGAACACAGTGAAGGCTTTGAGATCGATGCAGCTCTATAGGTCAAAGTTCAACTAATTGTGGACTTGACCTTATTCCAATATTAGCACAGGGAATCGATTGTAGATAAAATAGAATTGTGGGATTCAAGGAGCTTCACTAGACACAGGATACATGAGCAACGATAATATAATTCTAGAACTTTCCAGGGACTTTACTGATATTTGAAGTTTGCTTGGGACGTGACTAATATAGGTTTGCGTGTGCAATACTTCGCAGAACTGATATCTCGGAGTGTTTAGCTACGTACTATGGTGCAGGGTCGGTAGAGAATGTTGAAACATATGTACCTACCTGCCACGCTGTAGGGGTCGGCCGCAGACGAGATGGGTGGCGCATACGATGGTTGTTGCTGGTGGCGCCATGACACCTCTGCCAACTCGTCGCCGCCGCTTTCTAAATGTTGCTCTTTCGGTGCATTTGTCACTATAAACCACAATTAGAACAATATTAGTAATACATCTTTCAAATTAAAAGACAAAAGGATGATTTTATAAAAATCTTGAGCACATACTACTTCTTTTTGATTATGTATTGTACTTACTTATTTATTAAAAAGTTAATTTAAATATTTAAGATTTCTTAACTCTCCGAGTTGAATAGGAGTATTTTATTATTTTCTTAAGGGTCACCCGATAAGAGACATGAAACTCATGAAGATCTGTGCCATTATAAAAACAATAGGCAAATGTTGGAAATTTATATGCACATTAAACCTTATAATTGAGTAATAATGTTCTAAGTATATTTTAAGTGCTTGCTTGTTTCGAAGCCTTGCTCCCTTATCATTATAATTTTAATTGATCTTGCCAAACAAACCATTAGAAAGAAAAAGATAATTTTTAAAACATGTAGTGATATCTATAAACATTATTTATTTTACCATTAATGTAATAGATATTAACTCGTCGAGTACCGGTTTTATAGACACAATTAAAGAACAATAGGTCGCGGTCACCGGTGACTGCTTGGTGTTTGACAGTTTAATAGTTTCTTGTGTACTTTAAATTCTAATAAATAGATGTTTTCTTGTACATAGATTGAACATGATACTTTTATACTACACAATACAAAACCATACATAAACATTGTTTAAATGTTCTTTAACCATAACAAATTGTATGTAGAAGCACAAACTGATTTGTTTAGAAATTGTGACTGAGTCATCTAGAAAAGTTATTTAAAGTATACAAGCAATAATAGTCTCTGTAAACATATACCATAAGTTGAATTTTACCTGAAAACTCAATACTATTATTTGAATTATTTACCACACAAAACATAAGGTTTCACTTTACTGTATCAAATTTAGGTACCTTTGGATCGTAGAGTGAATACAAACATGTAGGGATAAAATTCTACATAATACACAATTGATATTTCAATTACATGAAAACATAAGTCAAGTAAACATTTAAAACTTTCAACAATCTTTCTATTGACCACTTCCGACTAGTTGTAGGAGCCAGACTCGAGTCTTTTAATTCAACTGAATGTAAATTGTACTTACATAGGGAGTAATAAATAGTAAATAATCTGGAGCATAAAAGCAAGCCTTGAAGATGCTCGCATTCAATATAATCACTTTAGAAATATTTACTGACTGTTCATCGCTCAACCGCTTAATGACACTTGTAAAAAATGTGCTACATGCGATTTTTATGTGCTCGTCCAGTGCTAATGCTCAGTTTTATACACACTTTATTAATTACAATTGAAGTAATCAATTGTCTACAATGATTATTTATAGCGGCACCGCAATGCAAGTCAATTTGTCATTATAAAAGAAGTATTTGCTCTAAACTGAAAGTCGTTGAGTCTATAGAATTCCATGGAATAAAATAAAGCTGCCTACTATGTGCAGAGGTGTTCGCTTAGCAGTGGGCACTTATTAGCTCATGAAGACTATGTTTTACAGAAAGAAAATTGAAAACCTGTGTTAGAGTATAACAAAGGAAGTTCTTATCACTGAAAACAATAATCTATAGGCCAATCTTTCAATAGATAAACCATTCATTAATTTCTTGAATGCCGTTGCATCTGTATGAGATACTATAGAAAATACATCATATATCACTTGGATCGATGTCCCGGCAAACTACATATTATTATTATATATAAAACATGTCTTTAGTTTTAAATAATATGTATGAACATAATTCTTTATAATTATTCACTATTTGGCATTCACTTCCACTTATAATTACTGGCAATATAATTGATGTCTGTATGTTAGACAAAGTCCACCATTTTTACATACACAATAACATTTCACATATTTGTGTTGTATATTAATGAGCTTTATTCATAATTTTGTAGTCTTGATAATAAACAATGAATGCCAAACATTTTTATATGAGAAGTGTCTTTGTCTGTCAGGACATTCTGATTATTATCTGATTAGACAGTACAGATCCATATTTAGGGTGGATCTTGTACTTGTTTCAAGTATCACTTCAAAGGGGTGGTTCCATCTACATGTTTAGTGTCAAAATATATCACAGAATGTTTGAATCACTAAAAGAAAACAAATGTTTAGCTTTACACACCAAATTGTTGCCAGATTGCTTGATTAGGCAAACAATAATCAATGTAAAATACACCCATAACTCAAATGATGAAGCACAGAACTGTATGAGTCAAATACACACTGAATAACACAAATAACATTAAACAGACTGGAATTTCATGTCTAATAAGCCAGAACAATAATAATAAATTAAAAAACTTACTGTCTACAAAATAATACATGTCTGATACTTCTTCTCCCACATAATAAACAAGATTGTTACAGACAGAGTCATTGATTATGTGTGGGTGGTAAAGATTTTCAAGTTATTTTTGATAGATGTCTGTGGGATGATTGGGTGGGCCACCCACCTACATCCTCTCAGGTGTACAACATAATCATTACATTCTGTTCACCTAAAATTACCAAGCATCTGACAACATTCAGAATTTACAGTTACAATACCACTTTTCACTATATTATTGTTAATTACGTATACTAAGATATAAAATCACGAATGAAATAATAAAAGTGAAAGCTAAAAAGACTACGACGCTAATCGCAGCATCGCAACAGCAAGAACCGAAGGCGAAGCCGACCGGTACGCTGTTCCACCTATGGAGAAAACACTTTGCAACGTCACAACGATTCCATCTTTACCTTGGTTCCCTTGCCCTTTCATCCGCTACGATCGCCACAATCATGAAACAAGGAACAAAACAACAATGTTAGCTATGCAATACAACATTTTAACGTGTAATTATTGAAGAGAGATATCGTAAATGCGAAATACCTGATCTGACACGCCTGCTGACATTGGCCGCGATTTTGAGAATATAGAGCACTTATAGAAGTCTTTAGACACGACAATATCAAAATTAATCACATCAGTTTCACTACACAAGGTCCGGAGTGTCCGAGATTCACTTAATTATTTCTAAATGTCCGTGTTGTACAAAAATCCGCTGAAAGTCCGAAACGGATGGACGTTTGTTAATGGCGACCAAAGCAGTGTTGCCAATGCCTTTTCTCGGAAATTACCGATAAAATATTATTACACTCGCATCAAATCAATCAGCGAGTAGTACCACTAAAACTTGATGATTTTATAGTCGGGGGTAAACTTCACCCATTTTAAATATCAATTTACCTTATTTAAATGAAATCATAATTCAACTGTTCTTGGAATTGCTTTCTTTGATACCTAAATGACTCACGAGCATGATTCACTCATCAGCTGACACTTTTTGTTTCTACACCTATTCAAAAATTTAATGGCGGGGATGTTTAAATATCACTCTTCGCTTCACGCGCAAGCGTCAGGTGCATTCGACAATCTGTGCCTTCAAGCATTTTAGGCCCCTATACTTATTATACTCTTTGATTTTAGGTACTTTATTTAGTAACATTGACTTATGTAGTTTTACTATTTTTCTTATATCAGAAATGAGTCAAAGTATGGCCAAATGTCGCCAGGTGGTAGGTGAAAATCCTCAACCACCGTTGCGATTTCATATACTGCTCCTCACCTGTTTGTCGTAGTGTGAAGTTTGATTGTCACAATTACTTTAGAGTTATGGCTTTCTGATCCCAAGATTTTTTTTGTATGAACTATTATAATCTCATAACATCACGTATTTTAGCCCTGAAGGAGTAGGCAGTGCAGGTGCACATTATGCCACTGAACTATGTAACACCCACTTTTCACTATTTCTGTTGAGTCCCATGTAATAGGGGCTAATATAATCTATTGATGACATATGGTACAAATACAGATATAGATAATGTGGGTACGAATTTAACTAAAAAAAAAACATGGTGAACAAAGCATTTGCAGTCTTTTATTGTAGTATTGAATTGATATAAGAAACAAGACACATATGAATACATTTACATATTTACATAAATAATAAAATATTGACCAAGTATTTATTCACTTCAGATTACATGGCTTGCACACACAACTGCGCACTGCAAAAATCAATCGCCGCTCATAAGCTTTAGACACATGAGCGGCGATTGATTGATGTCGAGCAACAATGGACCAATTAAGTAAGTAAGCCATATAGCCTAATTTAATATATCTCACAGTAATTATTATGTAAATAGTACATATTAATTTATACCAGTTATAAAAGTGATTGAGTTATTTCTTTTTGAAAAATGATGATATCGTCTTTGAGCCACTAGCTGCTTTTTGCATAGCCTTTTCTTTGGCTGTCAGTGATTTTTCTTTTTTAACTCCATTCATGTTCTTGTCCGGAGTAACTTCCATTTTTATCTTAGACTTATCATCCCCATCTTCAAGTTTCATTTTCTTATTTATTCCATTACTATCCACCTCTGATTTGCGTTTGTTACCAATTGTTTCAATCAAGTCCGGCTTGAAGTTGAATATTTTTTCTAATTTTTGTACCATATCTTCTTGCAGATACCCAGATATTAATTCAAAGGCATATTTTAAGAAGAATTCTGTAATAAATAAAGGGTATTAATAAATCCACAGGTATAAAGAAGAGATGCAAGCAGCTTATTACAGTAAACATACTTGATTAAATCATAATGATGAGTTTTTTCAAGTTTTTTCATTGTTGAACAAAATGTAACCTAACATTGGTTTATACAATATTATTGAGCTACAACATTGCTCTAACAAATCTAATACACTTAAGAATTTTCAAAAGTACTGTGTATTATTTCTGTGTTTACCTTCATCAACATTATCATTACTGATACTGCTGGTCACAAAAGTGGCAGAAGTAGCTCCAGGTGTAACATGGATATTTTTCTGCCTCAATACTTTTGAAACTTTGCGGACTCTATCCTCTAACCAGGACATGGTCTTCTCTTCATTGTATTTATATGCTTTTAATTCTTGTGAACCCTAAAATAAATATATAACACAGGAATTTATTAGATCATAAGTTCATAGTTTGCTAGAACAAAAATCTAAGCAAGACATAGATTCTATGTCTCTTAAAATAGGTGTAATGTTGTTAATTATGATTAAAAAATAAATGAGTGCATTATCATAATCTTTATGTATGCATTTTATCTGGTGCTTATCAGATATTTAAATTGAGTATTGAGGGCATTATGGTCTTATCTCTAAATCGGCCTTATTTGTTAATTACCTTCAAGTCAGCTATACTGTCTAAACTGGGAACAAAATCAAGGATTTTATCATATCCTTTTTCAGACAACAAGTCTTCTAATGGTACCGCTCTACTGCTACATTGTTCTTTTAACTTTGGCAATACTGGAAATAACAATATTTAAATTAGGAAAGTGGAATTTAAAACATGTTACAAATTGGTTGTCTAAACCATGAACAATTTAATTATTTAATAATTGAAGTGCATACATACACAAAAAGAGCATAGCATAGAGGACAACACATAAAAATTCGAGTATATAGGTGCTACTTATTCCTGTTAGAATTTCTTCCAGCAGTTATTTATTAAAGTATGATGTGTAATTAATTCTCATTTTACAAGAATTATAGAAATAATGAAAATCAAGGCACTTTGAAAAGGTTTTATCTCTTACCTAAAAATATAGGGTTGACAAGTGTACACATCTGAACGCTGCCATCAGATTTAACTGTTTCTCCAATAAACCATGATCTATAAGGTTCATCATATGAAATTATTTCATAGATCTTTTTATTTTTATTATCTAAGCAGTACTTTACAGGTTTTCCACCAGCAGGATGCGGTAATGTGACAATATTAAAGTTATTATTCTCTAGCAATGAATCTGTAAAATGGAACAAAAAATTTAGTGTCAAGTAAACTTAAATTCACATTTATCTTTTGTTTGTAACTTTGTAGTCTTGTTATGATTAAGTAATGGAAAAGTCAGTAGTTCTAATTTCAAACCTTTTACGAGCAAGATCCATGAGTTTTCGACACGTTTTTGTACCGGAGGTGACGGGACTTTGATTTTTGAATTTGATCTTGTTGACATTTTCTTAGGGTTGTGATTACTTAATTAAAAATTATTGCTATCTCACAGAGTTGTGTGGTTTACACAATACACGAAGAACTTGGTTTGGTTTACAAAATAATGATTGACATCATAACATTTTGCCGCTATAAAATGTTGCTTGCTTTGTCCACAGACTAAATATTTAAACAGCATTTGACGTAATATTGTACAATGAACTGAAACTATTACAAACCGAAATATTAAAATTCAGTAGGCATCAAATTATTTACAAAGACAGTAATAACTTTTACCGTACTTTTACTTTGCCCATTTTAATACAACACTCCTGGTTTTTCTTTCCATTATTTCCGACAACTTTAAAACCGGAACTATCGCAAGTATGCCGCACCTCTATTGATTAGTTTTTTACGGATGTTCACACTAATATTTACTGTCACTAGTGTCATTGTCATTTTTCATTTTGTCATTTGAATTTGACGTTCGTATGATAACCGCGCTTTTTTAGTTGAGTCTTATGTTTCTTTTCGTGTATTCTAGTCAGAAATTGAACTGTATCGCAAATAAACCAAAATGCAGGCTTTCCTAAAAAGTGGTAAACTATCCGCATCGGACAAACCGTCATCTTCGGGAGTAAAAACAGCAGGCAAGAAGAAGCCGCCAGCACCATGGGTTGAGAAATAGTAAGTACTTATGACAAAATATCTTGCTTTTTAAACCTAAATTCAGAAATTAAAGATTTAAATATACATTTTCCAGCCGGCCGAAGACGATAGATGATATTGTAGATCAAGGAGAAGTAATACAAGTGCTGCGAGAATGTTTATCTGGCGGAGATCTTCCTCACTTGTTGTTCTACGGCCCGCCGGGTACCGGTAAGACGAGTGCCATACTTGCGGCCGCTCGGCAGCTGTTTGGGGATATATCTCGGGACCGTGTGTTGGAGCTAAATGCTTCAGATGAGCGCGGTATCCAAGTTATCAGGGACAAAGTGAAGACCTTTGCCCAACTCACAGTCAGCAGTAAAAGACCAGAGTAAGTTGAACTTACTAGACTAGAAGACATTGTCTGTCTTGTTTTGATTATTAAATTGAACAAATTTGATTATTCAATTGAACATAGAAACAAACAACAAACAGAATTCATGAAATTTCATTTCATTACCTACAACTTTAACTTTCATTATACCCATAGTTTGCCAGAATAGATTGAGGTAAGACTGAAGACAATTTTTTTTTATGTTTGTCATAATAACAGTACTCCTCAAGTGATGAATCAACTACTAACTTCTTTATAAATACCTTATTTGATAGAAATATCTAAAAACTGATACAAAAATACATGATACCAACAATTAATACCACACTATTAATTTAATAATCATCTACTATTTCTAGTGGTCGACCATGCCCACCATACAAGCTGGTGATTCTGGACGAAGCAGACTCCATGACTACTGCAGCTCAGGCGGCACTAAGGCGGACGATGGAGCGAGAGACACGGACCACTCGGTTCTGTCTCATCTGTAACTATGTCTCCAGGATCATCCCACCAATCACTAGTAGATGTTCCAAGTTCCGCTTCAAGCCTTTGGCAAGAGAAAATGTTATTAAGAGGTATGAACTCATCTGTTTATAATCAAACTAGCTTTTACCCGCGGCTTCGCTCGCGTCACAAAAGGATAAAAAGTAGCCTAGTAAAAGTGTGACATATACCAATACACACAGCGCCATCTATACCAATACTTTTGTTTTCCCTTGGGAATATCAAATTTTTCCGGGATAAAAAGTACCCTATTATTTAATCCGGACTCCTAACTTTATGTCTGCAAAAATTCAAAGCAATCGGTTTAGTAGTTACGGCGTGATAGCGGAACAAACAAACAAACAAACTCACTTTCAGATTTATAATATAAGTAAGGATAATGAATTCATTCTTTACTGTAGGTTTAATTTTGATATTTTATGTATTCTTAATGTACTAATACTTATAATACAATTCATCTCATTGTGACTGATATTGAATCTGGAATCTGGAGTTGCACCTGGGAAATGCCGATCAATTCACCCTCTATTATTTAAGACTTTTGTATAATATGCACTACTATGACTCTATCTAGGGTTCCTTTAAAAAGTGCGACGTTATGTAGTATCCTTTATAATACCATTCATCAACAGCCTATAAATGCCCACTGCTGAGCAAAGCCTCTTCTCACACGGAGAAGGTTTGAGCATTAATCACCATGCTTGCTCAATGGGGGTTGGCGATTTCAAACTTATAATTAGAAATTATAAGCCCAGGTTTCCTCACGATGTTTTCCCTCACCGTTTGTCAGTGGTCTCTAGATAATCTTAGAAAGTACATATAACTCTGAAAAAGTCACATTGGTACTTGCCGTTGGTAGGTTTCGAACCCGCACCCTCATGCATGAGAAGCGGGCGTCTTAAACCTTCGGGCCACCAACGACCCATTTTAGATAATACGAAAAATAAATCTTATCAAAATTACAGGTTACGTGAGATCTGTGAAGCTGAAGGCGTAGATGTTGGCGACGGCGAAGTGTTACACCAAGCAGTAGACACATGTGAAGGAGACTTGCGACGCGCTCTAACTGCCATGCAGTGTTGTCAGCGACTGCTAGGGAAGATCACTGCTGAAGGACTTGTGGAGGTATGATTATTTTTTTATAGTTTCCGGCAAAACTACTTCTATGATTCATATTAATTTCATTTGGACTTTATAGTTGTAAATAAAACCTACTGTTATTTAAAAATGACGAACTTAAATTTCTCTTTTGTTGGCACAATTGGGTAATTTCCAGGGTATCAAAATTAAAAATCTAATCAGTCCGTCAGTTAAATAATGGACAAATATTACACTGTATTTTTTTCTTTACTTAGATAAAATGGCGCTAAGTTCTAAGAAGTCGAGGGAGGTAGTTACGTCATAACGTGCTACAAAATGTAGCACGCTGTGACGTCACACGATATTTCAAATTGATATATCGTCGAAATTATTTAATTTTTTGCGAAAAGAAAAAATAAATATCACATGTTTTAAATAAATGTACCAGGCGGACATTAAAATAAAATTTAGGAAACTACCCTAATCTCGTGATGTCTTTGGTGTTGCTACGCTTTACCATCAAACCACCCATTAGCTGTTGTTACTGTAGGTAAGTAGTGTATAATATAAAATTATCTTCACATCTCTTTGGTATGCAGGTAACCGGTCTTGTTCCTGAGGATCTTGTCAATCAGTACCTCGGTGTCAAAAACTACAGTGAACTGGAGAAGTTTGTCGAAAGGTAGGTAAACAAATAAAACAGCAATAATTTCCCAAGAATAGATCCTCGTAGCCACATAAATTGTTCGAGAAATGCTCGGCTAGTTTCAAGCTGTACCGGGACTCGTAATTGACACACGACACATCGTAAACAGACGACATCGGGTTTATTTCAATCAAAATAATGGACTTACAAAAATAGTTCTTAAGCATTCAAGATTTATCTATAAAACTCCATGATCGCTACCTTTATTTTCTATAACACAATACTCATCCACCAGTTTCCTGATGGAGGCCTACTCCGCATCACAACTCTTGGAGCAACTAAGTGCAACAGTGGTGACTGCAGGTCATCTCACCAACAAACAGAAATGCGAGATCAGTGAGAAGGTGGCTATCTGCTCCCATAGACTGCTGGATGGTGGTGCCGAGTACATGCAGCTCACAGATCTTGGCTGTACCATTATAATGGCGAATAATAACCCTTAAGGAAGTAGATTTAAGGTCTGTTATTTGCTATTTTTATGTAGTTAAAACCTTTTGCAAGCAAGTTGAAATGGGAGCAATCATTGTTATACTGCCAAACAAGGATGTTGAAAATAAGGCGGACATAATGTCACTTAGAATTGATTGAAGCAACAAAATATCAGTGCTGTGTTAATGTGTGCGTGTACTTGCAACACTGTAATGTATGTAGTGTAATGACGGGCTATGTCATGAGACAGATGTCCTTCGTGACAATGTGTGTGTATTCTGCGTGTTAGTCTGTAGCAGCTAGGTGCCACAGTCGTTGTTTCAAGAGACTGTCTCCGCCTTTTTTCAACGTCCTTGCTGCCAACTGTCAGTGTGATAATGATTGATACCATGATTACTTGTTAAAAACAATTGTTTATTGTTATTCTGTGGTTTTTTTTGTCATTGCACTCAAATGACAAAGTATTAAGACATCTGAATAGAAAGGAGGAAGTAAAAAATGAAAGAAAGAATTAACGAAAATAATTTATAATTATGTTATCATCACACTATTTCCTATTTGCTGGAAGAAGAAAATAAAAATAATAATTACTGAAAATCGTAGTAGCCAGCTACAACAATTCCACAATTCAATAGATGTAAGTTTTTAATTTAAGTGTTACCAGCTACAAATATGTGGAACTGAGCATGTTGCCACATTTAAAAAAAAAACATGTGCTGGTTCTAGCAACTCCCTTCAACTTAATAGATTTGAAGAATTCTGTATGTAGACGTTCTGCCACTAGGTCTAAGAATACAGTAATAGTACACTGTACATAAATTGGCACCACGATGTAGGCTACAGGTTTTTCATTGACCATAGTAATAACTTGCCGTGTAATATTTTTGTTCAATCATTCTAACTGTCAAAAATATACTATTCAGTCGGTTGATACCAGGAAATCATCTATTGTACAAACTCGAGCTATTAGAAACCTTAGTATTAATTTGTTTTACATTTAAAGTAATCCAAACGAAACGGCGTTCGGCTTCTCTGATTGGCTGGCTCATATGATTTTTTTTATAGGATAAGTTGGTAAACGAGCGGACGGGTCACCTAATGGTAAGCAATCGCCCATGGACACCCGGAACACCAGCGGCGTTACAAATGCGTTACCGACCATTTGAGGATTAGGAATTTGAGGATTGTTGGGAATTCAGGGATTACTTAGTAATTGGGCCTCCAGTAACCTCATTAACACGATGAAACACAACGCAAGCGTTGTGCGGCGTGGTTTTCCGAGAGGACGTGGTAGCTCAATCGTGGTGAAGCATGGCTCTCCCACACTTAACCAAACAATCACAACATTGAACGCGGTCTCGTTTCGATTACTTCAAACGTAAAAAAACTCGTATCTCTCGTAACCCTCTGGATTGAAAAAAACGGTAACCCTTAACAGTCACGTGTTGCCATCTGTAATATAAATAATCTTATACATACAGAGTACCAGAGCGCGTTCGGCGCTGTGATTGGCCGGTTCCAGTAAACCAACCAATCAGAGAGTATTATCGATACGTTACGAATGCGATAGTTGTTCGTGCTTGGCACTCAGATGCATGTGAACGCGTAATAAAATTCCTTTTAATAGACTGTCTTTATATTACATGCAGGCAAGTAATTGCTTAGCAATATTACATTGGAATTCTTATTGCATAGATTATGTTAATGATTGTTTTTTTGTTTGTGATACATGTGAGAATGTGGTTTGAAATCAATACATTATTGAGTTTTTAATTTGTGTTTCTTTTATTAGTATGAAGTACCCACACCCCAACCAGATATCTCCTAACAAGTTTTTAAACCGTTGAAAGAAAAAAAATTGTTTATATGGACACCGTCGCAAAGTACAAAAAAAAATAAACAGTGAAGACGGCGCAAAAAGGCCAGAGCTCAGCTTAAATTGAAAAATACACTTTTTCACCACAACATAATTATGTTATTGTGAGCTAGCTACCGTTTATACACCTAAAAATATTTAAGGAAATCAACTAAGTAAAAGACGCTGATAGAGTATACGTCGATCCTTTCAATTTATTTGGCCAATAGGCGACTGGCCTACCTAATCGAATCTTCACGACGAGATAATTTGGCCACGTTAGTGTCGGTCGTTGCGAAACGTATCATTCGCCTCATCCTGAGTTAAAGCTTGTTAATGTAAGTAGGACCTTCTTTACTTAATGCGCGATAGTCTATAGTAGCCGTGTGTTGCAAGATGTAAAATATTACGTATCGACTTTTATTTCTGAAAGTAAGTTAGTCTGTATTCTGTCTAAAATTCAATTTATTTACGCCAAAGGCCTGAATATAATGTAGATGGCTGTGTACAATAAGTGTCAATTAATAATTTCATGCCAAGTTGCATAATAGCCGCCCCGTAACACATTAATAATGAAACTAATTGCAAGTTTGTGTTACTATTTAAAGTTTCGACGAAACGTTCACAACTCATACGGATTTCAATCCAACTCGGTTCGTAAATGATACCTTTGTGTTTATGCATGAGATATTCAAGAAATAGTTCATTGATTATAATGTGCGCATTTAAACCGTGTGATTATTGTCAACGTGGTATTGCACGCTTTGTGGCCGCCACGGTACTTTACAATTACCGCTGCAGTCACAAACGTGTTACTAATGCACTTTGTTATCTCAATTGCATTTAGATTCGATTATGAAGTCTATCAATTTCGTCAGATTATAGCAGCTTGCAGGAATAACTAAGTTTGAATGTACCAAACGACGACATGATGGAGTGCATCGTCTATAAAGTATCTTTTTACTTTCATTCATAACGTCGGCCGTTTAAAATCTGTTGTCAGGTGGATAGTAGCACTACCACCGAGTGTGCAGTTTACGCGCGCGTTCATTTCACTTCCGCTGTCGGTTGAACGGACTGGCGAGTAGGAAAGAAGAAAATAACGTTCTTATAGAAAGATAATATCGGGCGGCGCGGTGGTTCGCCCCTCCACCGCGGTGTGCGCCGCGATTGGTCGCCACGACCCTTGGCTCCCCCCTCCGCCGCACGCGCAGCGTCTAGCTTTCCAGATTTCAAATCTCGACCGTTTATTTCATAGTGAGCGGGCAGAGCGCGCGGGCCGCGCTCCGCACTCCGTCGCTGGAGCGCGCCGCATACAATCATGATTGTTTAAAAAAAAACACGGCAACGTGCTCGTGAACGGTTCGGTGCTACAACGTGACATCGCTAACGATCAGTGCGTGCAGTGCGTCGTGCTCGACGGTTCCACGAATCAGCGGCGGCGGAAAGGTCAATTTCTTTCGATGAGTGGAGGTTTAGTGCATGTTTCTGTACACCATGACTAGATCCACACTCATCCATGGAAGTTGCGAGGTTCTTCAGGAAGCAGCGCAGGAGTCAGCGTCCGCGACGAGAGCGTCAGAGCCGGTGATTACGGCCGGGTATGATTACCGTGCGCGTAATGATACGTTGAGCGGCAGGTACGCGCTCTAACGCCGCGGTAACCTCCGCGCCTCTACCTGCGCGCACCCGCCCAAATAATGTCATTTAGATACACTCCGCGCCGGTTAGCTATTGGTTGTTCAATGTAAGTTTTTGTAGTTGTTTTTCATCAATTTCAAAGGTAAAGAATTGGAAGTTTTTTTAGCGCTTAAGTCACGGTTTGCTCTTGAGCGTCGCTTGAAGAACGTGAGGTACATTGAGTTAGATTGGACCTGTAAGGTTATCGGCGTCCATTCGAAAACCTCACGTGCGACCGGGGGTGAGCATGCAGGGGTGCGGGGGTGGGCGGCAGATAGCGGCGCAGGCGCATCTGCTCCTTCTGAGAAAGGCCATTGTGGCGGTCCCGGAGTGGTCAGTGCGGTGACGTCACGGGCCGGGGCCGACAACCTTCCCCCCGCGGCCCGCGCGCCGACGCTATACCTACACAACATTGAGGTACATCCGACAGCGATCGCAAATGATTCTCAGAGATTAGTTGCCATGTTATTTGTTAATGTATTTGTTATTACCTCGCTATCTTTTTATTTACATTCCGAATCCACTAAGGTGGGCTAAACCGCTCTTGTGGAACTTATAATGAATGAACATTAACTGAACAGGATAACTTGATATCGTTGGTTTTCCCCATCTGTGAATAGTGTGAATTACACGTTTGTTCAGGTCTGTGTCTTTTAACTTGTAACTTAATATTGTCCCAAATACCATGGGATTGTTAAAAAGGCGGGAATCCTGCTAACTGTTCTTGTAATAGTCCTGAAAGGGAGATCTTGTATGTCACTGATATGTCATATATTTTAAGAAAAAAATTATAGGGAGCTGAACCCTATAATTTTTTAATTTCGTCAAAGTACACGAGGTCTTGTCTAAGTAATGTTTTACGGTATCACTGTTGACTCTCTCACTCACTTAAAATTCATGCTCAGTTCCGAATACCCCAAGACGATTGTAAAGATAACTTAATCCCAGCAATGGCCCTTACTTTGTACTCAAATAATAATACCCGGCTCGGTAATAATAATATTCCCGCCAATTCTAGAAACCGAAGTTGAAAACGAGCTATCATTCAAACCCCGACTGGCTATTACACCCTAATGAACAAATTGTTCGGCTTTCTTAAGAAACGGTCGTATTCTCAAAAACCCCAGCGCGTTCAACAAAGCAATTTCACAAATTCTTTTCAGAGTAAATTATACTGTGTCCATCAAGAGTGTCGGGTCTCTGTTATTTCTACATGTTTTTATGCGTCGTAGAGTTACTTAATAGTGTTCCGGGTAGTGGGTTTAGTGGGGCAGGTACCCAGCCCCAGGTAGAAGGTATAAAGCGCGGGTCCGACAAAAAAATAATTATGTAAGGCCCCGCTTGTAAACGTTTTGTTAAAAGTGAGAATAAGACGTACGGAACGTTCGGATGTCGGGCCTAGCGCTCGCCGCTTGCAGCTACATTTTTCATAACAAATTATCGCATTAATTTTATTACTTGTAATTTTTCCGCTACTCGGTTTTTCTACGAATGTGTTTTATTATCTTTTAAATTAATTAGTCGGGTCTTTAATTGCAAGAATAACTAGGCTTGTAATGAAATGAACTACGTTTAATGTTAATTTTACGTTTCACCGAGTGCTTCGTGAGCGAGGCAAAGACCATGTTAATTTAATTACCTCATATGGCAATCAAACAGATATAATATATTCTGGAAACTCGCTCTCGGGGTCGCCTCATTTCCCATGATTCCAGAACTCGTGACTTGTAATCTAATGTAAACATGTCTGGGATACAGTTGACCTTTGATTTAGACTTTCAATATCGAGATTATCTTCAAAATATATGGAGATTTATTATCTAGCCTGTACACGGACAATCTTCATGAATACTCAAACGATATGTATCTAGCGCAAATATTACGAGTTTATTTCAGAACATGTTATACCTAAATAGGAAACGGAATACGAAGAATAACTATACGGCCTGGGACTACTCCTTGAACACATCGTATATTTCATTTTATACTTAACTGAAAAGTGGACTTAACCGGCCGGGCAGCCTGTACAGATGCTGAAGTATAAGCGTCGGTAAACAAGAGTGTAGGCCGTTGTGTTATTCCCATGAAGTCGGAGTTATGTGTATTGTATGCGCGTGCTCACGACGAACGCTATTTTTTTGTCGTGTAAACATTGCGCTTCCGCGTTAGCTGGGCCGTGCGAACCGCGAGGGTCGAGGGAACCGCCCGACCTAACGTAAGTTTCCTTTGTTTAACACTTGACGCATTAGTAGGTAATGTTCGCACAGTTATCGCTACGCGAATGTTGCACTGCCGTTTCTTAACTCTCGCTATGAAAATGAGATTTTTTCCTGTGTCTGTGTCTGACATGTTGATGACTTGATGAGTCAGTTCAGTTAGGGAGATACAAACAAGACCAAACTAAAAATAAAGAATTACACACGTGCTAATTGTTTAGTTATGTATGCATGCACATGCACACTGTTCGAAATAGACAGCGAGGGGGAAAATGCACCCTCTTTCCAGTTCCCATGCACTTTAAATATTCAAATGCCCTGTAGCATAGGTATGCCATAAAAATGACGAGGGCGACAAAATGAAAGGAATTTAAATTAGTTTTTGATTGTTTATGAAGATACTAGAAGCTGACATGACGCACGTCTACACAACGGAATACGCTTAGAGCGGTTGATGTAGCCCCTTGTTGTCGATACAATACAAGCCGAACTTAAAACATGCAAGATTCTCAGGATGTATGAATAAGGCAACCATTTGTGGTACCTAGCTGAATAATAGAGTAGTCGGACGAAACAATACTGAAATAAAGTTAGAATTTGAATTGTCTGAAATAAAGTGATGCGACGAGAAAATTGTGCGGCACAAAAGCAGTAGCCGGCTTGATTGTCGCCAATTAGTTGTAATAACGGCCCTCGGCCGGCCGCGCTCGGATAACGCGCTGTAATTTGTTAGCGAACACCGAACACGGCTCACGGGGACTGTGAACAAGATTTATGTGTGAAATGTTCGAGGTCGATGCCTCTGCTCTACTGGCTACTGGATTTTGTTTCAACGCGCCGCCCGCCGCCGCCGCCGCAGCACCGGCTCTCGCTCATCTGGTTTATGAAGTGTTGGACACATTTTATAGACTGTGCGGCCGACGATGCATAACGTTATCGATTCAATAATCATCTTTGATTGCTATTTATTGAGAGGTTTGTTGTTAACGACCTATTTGTCTTCAATGTGACATTCTAGTGCGCTCTCTGAAATAATATTGCAATGTTTAGCTCTCATCGTACGTGGCTTCGTATTTGAAGTTGCCACTATAATTAGGTACACTTATTTATTGTACCTCGGCTGTATTTTACGCAACCGAAGCATGAATCATACAGTCGTTAAGTTACAACATTTGCTTTGAATGGTACTACGTGCTGCTAGTTTCCCATCTTGTTTTAAATTGGCCAAGTCAGTATCGAGTATCAAAACATAAAATTAGGTTTCGTGTCGTATTACTGGCAACTCAGCGTAGAATGTTGTAGACATGTCATTTGTTTTTGATTAAATGTGATCTTATTTCATTTTCATTAAATCATAATGATATTCAATGTTGTAATACTTATAATACTTACTTGCAATAATGTCTACTTGATTTTGTAAAAAATCCATTTCCATGTAACGTTTATGGAGCACATTATGTAAAATGGTATGATGCAATTACCCACAGCTAGCGATTACCTATGTTCTCCACTGACTTCGCAGAATAATGTAGAGCACAGCAACGCTCCCGGCGGGCAGGAGCGAGTGCAACGTCCACCGGCTCCTCAAGGGCAGCAATGTGAACTGTCTAACCCTGGATCCTGTTTACGCGCATTCGAATCCAATTTTCTTTGAAGGCGGTCTGCAATCTACAATCATTATTTTTGCAAAGACAAATCCATTTCTGCCTGCGGTACGTGACTGTGGGGTAATGAGAGCTAATGGCGGCGGAGCTGTCATTACGCGGGCGCTCGGCTGCGCGCGCCGATTGCGGTGTCAGCTCGGTGCGCAGGCGCAGCCCTCGATGCGCCCACCTCGCCTCGCAATTCTGCATCGCAGCCGCGGTCACGATTGCTGTCAGCTTGTGACACCACAATCATTATTGCACTTTTATGTTCAATTCGCCGGTTACAACAGGCATGCCTTGTTCTACGATTTTTTGCAATAATCAAAGTCTCGGGTCATGCTATCGAATTTAATAAAAACCTACTTTATTGCATAATTTAATTTGTCATTATCTTAGTAAGCAGCAAGCAGTAAGGTCATTGTTTGCAATAGCGTTGCATTCAGTACACAAACGTTATAAACGGTTTGGTTTGTTCTGCTCCGCTAATGAATTCGTCAAACAAACTTGGAGATTACAAAGGAACTCTTTACTTTGCTTTACAAAGACAATTTATTCTGATTCTTTTCCTCAAACATTTGTTGGTTTTTTTTTTAAATAAACGCTTCGTCTGAGCATTGTAGGTACCTACTTTTATTTTTACGGTGCCTTAATTGTCATCGTTTTCACTTTTTTTGTTGCATGGCATAAATGTTAATACCAACAAATTGAACAGAATATAAGAAGGCAAAAACATGTAACTACTACAGTTATTTTTAATAAAAGGTATATAAAAATACATTGCTTTTAAATTGCATTACTGCAGCTAATACCTATTTAAAACCTCATGTCCCTTTACTACCCAATTTAGAGCATATCGTGACACACAACATTTTTGAAAATAGTATATTCAAGTTTAGAGGAACACAATGTCAAACTCACATAAAAACTGATTTCAAGGCAACGATTAACTTACAAAGAAAAAAAAAGTCAATTGTTCCTTACGACTCCTTTTCTATAGAGCAGATGTTCCTTGCTCGTCCTGTAGGACCCGTACTAAAATCAATTCTTTGTAAAGAAGAAGATAGAAAAAAAAAAATTCGTCACCAGGCATGGACCACCAAATATACATACATAAAATAACAATTTTAAAAAGAGAGTTTATTTCGGCATTTCTTCTCAGAGTAGTCAGTTAGAAAATGTCGACCTCATCGTTCGCTTGATAAAATTGACGTGTAAAAGTGCTGCCTTGTAGCCTATTAATTGCAGAAATAAATTCACTTGTTTCACAATGAAAAACAAAATAATAAAAAAACTATAAAAACATAAAATAATATGAAAAACAGCAGTAACAGTATTTACGAACACAAGAACTTCGAAAATATTACCTTCTAGGTCTCTATATGAAGGATACTATCCCATTATATCGTAAAGTAACATAACGAGACGCATTCAGTTAATACAAATCTAGTTATTATGGGCTATGAAATACATTTCTATATTTGAATTGGCCTATTACAATGCGCTTACGCATTATGATCTCAAAGGGTTTACATTCACCTTTAAAACTCATTA